TTAAAAATAAAAAACCAAAACCAACACAATCAGGTGTTGAAGGCCTTGGATTCCTTTAGAGGTGGATGGACATGGAATGCCAGCCCTGCTCCTCTATTAAAATAAGTATTTGATTAGGCTGTTGCATTTGTTAGCTTCTTAACCTGCCATAACTTGTGCTCTTAGATGCATTTTGGCTTTTATTGTTAAAGGGCATTCCAAAAATCAGTGAAAGAATATTTATGTTTGTCTGCCTCAGCTGGTCGATCTAACTTGCTCAGGTGCACAGTTCTGGACTGAGTGAGCAGCTACCTGCACAGTTTGAGAAAAGATATTGGTTTACTGCATTTTCCATTTCCCTGCACCATCCATGAGCGTAAGATGTACAATCAGCTTTTCAAAATGTGATTTTTTTATTTTTATTTTTTTTTTCTAGAACGACAGAATGGTTTGGGTTGGAAGGTATTTAAGATCACCTAGTTCCAACCCCCTGCTATTGTCAGGAACACCTCCCTCTAGCCCAGGTTGCTCACATCCCCACCCAGCCTGGCCTTTAATGCTTCCAGGGAGGGGGCATCCATAACCTCGCTGGGCAACTTGTTCCAGTGTCTCATTGGAAGAGGCTACTGAGTGCAAACGTGGTAATTTTTTTTCTTTGCTTGAATCAAAAGCATAAATTTTATGTAGAAAGAATTGTAATTCACATTTGGCCTGTTGCCAAAGCAGGAAAATTTATCACCCGTTCTTGGCATGTGCAGATAGATGTCCCCTTCTGTCTCTTTCATGAGTTATTACATATTCTGCCAGGAAATCTTAATCATGCTTTTTGGAAGCAGCTGCTGGTCTGTCCACCTGCTGCCAAGCTATCCTATTGTATGAGTATGACTTAGCTTCAGTGAAAAGTCTCCTAACTCTAGCTAACATATAGGAAAAAGGTCACTGTGCTAAGGCCACCCCAGGGACCATACAGTCTTATGAACTACATCATCAGGATTGTAGCACTGCTCCAATGCAACCCTGTTGCTAACGCCAAACCTCCACACATATTAGGCATAACTGTGTTTTCAAAATTGTGTAACGTGGGCTGTACAACAAAATAAGAAAACAAAAGTATTTTTTTTAAGAATGAATGAACCTGACCAAGTTGAGTTTGAACTTGTAGCTGTAAGACATGCTAGCCAAGGAGTTTAAATCAGAGAAAGAGATCACTGTGCCTTTCTGTCTGAGGTAAGAAATAGAGTTTGCTTTCAGTCTGTGCTGGCAAATTATAACTCTCAAACTAGAAGACTGGATCACTTGTATCCTCTGAGTTTGTTGGCTTTAGTCTCTCTTCTGCTGTCAGCTAGCATTAGATAACACAGTACCCAAATCACATAGAATGAGTGGAAAGTTAGGGCACAGGTCATTATTACAGTGAATACACTTCAGGGAAAATTATTTAATCTTTAGTATTTATTGTGAACTCTTAAGAACTCTGAGCTGGTGGAAGTGATGTTCACCTTCAGTGTTAAAGGTCATCATATCATCTTAGCAGACTTTTGATTTCTTTCTGCAATTCAAACAGCTTTTAAATATCCTGAAAGTCTCTTATATTGCTAGTATTTTTTCAGCTTCATGTAGAAACAATTATCTTGGTACTTGTTCAGAATACTCCATGTACAGTGCATTTTACTAAGGAGTTCTACATAGGCTTTGGAGAATTTGATGTTCCTAACAAATCTCTTATGTCTCTAGCTATAATATGATTGGAGAATAACAAAAAAATAACAACTGAAGTTCCAGCATAATCTATTTCCATGGTGTATTTTACAATCCTAAAGGTGTTACACTCACTTTTGGACACAAAAGTCCAGCTAAACAGCCAGCTGTGACTCCCTCACATCGAAAGCGCAGACTTTGTATGCATTTCTGTCAGCTACTGAGTTCCTCTGATCTGCACAATGCGGTGGCATATTAAAATATGTTCCCATGTAGTGTAATGCAATGGAAAGCACAACAAGGACAGGAGAGCAGCAAGATCCCAGGCCACAGGAAGTGAGGATTTGCTCAAACACAACAGCAGTGGGCACATAAATAGAAGAATGTGCTTATCTTCGGAAGGCCCTAGGCATGCAGGGATTCCCGTAGAGGTGCCCCTGCCACCACTGCCAACCCTTAAATTAGGTCTGGGGAGGGGCTAATCCTGGCTTCACTCCTTCCAGTCACTCAGTGCGTTGCATTGCACACTCCTGAACTCCCCTGGGTTGGCCTTGCCTTCCCACCAGGTTCTCAATCACTTGTTCAAGCCACGACTTAGCATTTCCCACACCTAGAGATGGAATTTTATTTTTCTTGGAGAAGAATCAAAGTAAATGAGAGCTTATGTTAAAATACTTTTTCCATATTATTTCCATTCCATTTCTAAAAGAAAAAATTAGCTTCAGGAATGTGGTGTTTGTTTTTTGTTGTTGTTGGTTTTTTTTTGTTTTTTTTTTGGTTTTTTTTTTTTTTTTTTGAGGTGCTTATTTCTAGTCTTTTTGTGGGATGCTGTATTTAGATAATGAACATTTGCAAAAAAAAAAAAAAAGCAACATTTTTTTCTAGCTATGTAAATATACAAGAGAACACTGGCATTTCAGAAGCACTCTGTGGCTTTTTAATAGCTTCTATGTGTGTTTTAAATATGTTATGCAGTCCATCTTATTCTACGGAACTGTAAATTAAGAACCTGTAATATAGACATAAACATAAATTATTTAATTTGAAGAAAAAGTTTTGCATATACCTAGCTAAAGTAAATGTAATTTATTTTACCATGCAGATGAATAGACCACTACAGAAAAGAATTGAAGCAGAGTTTATTTGCTGAGTGCATATAACTGAGTGCAAACAACTGAGGGGGACGTACAGACTGATTACTCTTTTAGTGGATGGTTCTCTCATAGGCAATTGTTTATGCTAAAATTACATGCCAGTCACAGCTTTCAGAAGGCCTTGTGTCTCCATAATGTCTGTTTATTGCTGTAGTTTCTGCTAAGGCAGGAACAAGCAAGCTTCAGAATATTTAGGTGCAACATGTACCATGCTTACTGGAAGCTGTCTTTACTTAAAAGGCCGCTCACAGAAGGTTAAAATCCACACTGCACTTCCTTAGTGAAGTTTAATGCTTTGCTACTGTTCTGTGGTGGCTCACATATCTACCTCACTGAGATTGGTGCTAGGTGGGACTGCTTTGATCATAGAACTATCTGAGCTATACAGACAGATCATCTGCAGCAATGGGGCAGAGCTCTGTGAGATCATCTGTACCAGCTCCTGCACAATGCCAGTGTAGCTGTTGGACTGGGGAAGGACAAAAGATGGCTTTAGTGTAAACAAATTGCTGGAATTAGTTGTACTGATTGAATACTTAAAGGAGATGAAAGTCTCACTTCAACATCATGGAATTACCAGGGCCTTTAAACTTCTGGCTATCAGCAGCAGAGCTACTTAGGCTCTGTAAGAACATATTCCAGACATTTTCTTTCCAAAATTTTCCCAATGTAGCTGAGTTGCTTCTTAAGTCACAGACTTTGTTTCAACGCACTATCATTTAGGTGACTGTACTAGTGCTAAGATGATGTGCGAGCAGTCTTTTGCAGCCCACAAGCTAGAGTTGAAGCTACAGCAGCAGTGAGCAAACAAGCACACTGAGATGGCAGTACTAGGTCGTGAGGGGAAAGGGAGACAGAGCGAGTGAAGTGGCTGACCTTGCTGTAAGAGTGCCACAGACTGTGAGGGTAGTGGAGTGTGAGCTGGCATGAGATGAGAGCTGTGATTAATGCTCTGATGTTTGGTTCTCTTAAACATGCAGAACCTGATGAAGATTTCTGACTATCTTGCTAAGATTTAGCAGCTTACACAGAGGTGTGCAGGCCTTGCTGCCATGGGGAGCCAAGTTATGACATTGTTTGAAATGTATAGTTCTCATTGTGTTTTAGATCAAGATTTCATATTCCTCAAAATGAAACCGCAAGTGAAGATTAGTGTGCAGAATCAAAGAAAAGCGGTCTGTGCCAATTACATATAGGCGTTTTTATAGCTAATTGCTTTTATGACTGTTAACAGGAATTAACATAAATGCGAAATGCAGTTACTAAAATAAGTGACGCTTCTGTGAATGAGCTAATCTTGTTTTACTTCCAGCTGAGGGAAAAGTTACGTTTAACCCCTCCAGTATTAGAAATGAAGTCAGATAAGGAGGAAAACCAACAGTTGCAACATACAGCTTAGCAATGAGGGCAGCAATGAAACTTTCTTTGTCAGGCACAACAGAGAGGTTTAAGAAACAGTTGTGATGCGCTGTCCTAGTGCAGCAATCTCGTGGGTACTGACTTAATGTGTACTATCACAGGCACAGAAAATGTAAAAAAAAAAACAAAAAACAACCCAACAACAATAACAACAACAAAAAAAAACAAAAAAAAAAACAAAAGAACAAAAAAACCCCAACAATGTAAATGATAAAGATCCTATAAAGATCTTCCACAGTACTACAGTATTTCTCTCACCAAATAAACATAGCACAGATACCTCCCTTTCTCCCTTTCACTCAAGAATTATCGCTCACTTGAAGTGAAAGACAGTCAGTTCAGAAATTGAAAGCTTCAACACTGTCAGACAGCTAGAGATTTTTATTCATAGTAAGAGACTGAATGGAATGCTTCCACACTAAGAGGACTGTAACTGTGACCAGCTCAGTGTATAGTTTCAAACTAATGCATTTTTAATATAGCCTTTAGCAGAAGTTTTGTTAAAGGTCAATCTACCTGAAGTCTATACTGGAATGTATAGATTTCAATTGAGAAAGTTTTGTTTTCATTACAAGGAACTATATTTTCCAATAATCAGAGACAGCTATATATGTATATATGTATTAAGGGAACACTCTCAAACAAACAAGAAAAGCGTTCGAACTTGTTGATTGCTGGGTATTCAATGCTATTACATTTCATAACAAACATTTCAAATAAAGTAAATCATTATGTTGGAAGGAATATTACCTTTTTTCTTTCCTCCATGTATATTTGTTGGGATGATAATCCAAGAAATCAACAAAATAGAGAAAAGTTGCAGACTTTTCATTTCTTCTTTGTCTGAATGAGAGCTGGGTAATTGACTGCCAAAATCTGCCGATAGATGAGAAAAAGGACAGAACTATCAATGCTTTGTGAGAATTCCATTGCCTATTAATCATTAACTCTCCTGTGCAGTGGCCCACTTCTTCATTTTTTGGGAAAGAAAACAATTCGCCTATTTCCTGCCTTTTCCTTTTTATTTTGTGCCACTTGTGGCGGAAGTAATTTGGAATTGGATCCTCTTACCTGCTCAACAGTACTCAGCTCTGAACGCAGTAGACTCGAGGGTGTTTGTGCTCTGAAATACTGCTAAAGGCCATGGGTAGCTAACTCAAATTTGGTTGGTCAACAGCACAGCCTGAATACATTGCGAAATAACTGTGAGAGCTGAAGGTTAATCTAAATATTTCATTAATGTAGACAAATCTTGGTATGAGAAACATCTAAAACTCTAAATGTAATACTCTTATATGATAAAGTGATAAAGTTGCTCTTGAAAAATTGCTAAATATTTCCTTTCAAATTTAGTGGACACATTTTTATCACAAAAAAATCATTAGTGAAGTACAATTATTAACATCTCTCTCCACTGGCAACTAGCTAATCATAATGAAGTGTATGCAATAATTAGAGAAGTAATTTCAGAAAAGGGATTCTTACGAATACAATGTATTTTATACTGGAAATGAATGCAGAATTTTAATTAAGATGAGGTGTGTAAATGCTGTAGTGAACTGATGTGAACTGCAAGGTGTGACAAGACAAAAATGTCTCTCAAGTAGTTAGCATACGTTGCCATGGAATGGATTCCAATGAGCAAGACAAAATGCTCCTCTGAGGGCCTGATCATCATCAGTCTGGAGCATCATCATTTTCCCACATTGATCATTGTTCCTGAGACTTACCCTAACTCATTTCAAACAACCTATTTGGCAATTATTATGTAGTTGTGGCAGCACAGGCATCAGCATTGGCTGAAAATCAACATGCATTTTCATTATCTGTTCCATTACCATCATATATGGGTTAATATTGGCAACTTCTACTGTTACCTGCATACCTGAGCAAGTATATAACCAGCCAGATAAGTTCCTACTGTATTTCACTGATGTTCTTTTACAACATTGTGCAGTTCTCCTTTGAAAGAGGCCTCTGACACAGTAAATTTTATTCTACGTTCTTGAATGATTTAAGTGAAAAATGTTGTCATCTCAATAGTCCTACAGAATCAAAACTTTTTTTAGAACTTTCTATCTTTCTAACAGATGACAATGTGTGCAGGTGGAACAAACTCCTTCAGATTTGAGTTTGAGGGGGAAAGGGAAGAGATGCTCTAGATAGCATTAGGGAACCTTCAGCAAGAATTCAGGCTGTGGTGGTGGACAGGAAATGCTGTGTTTCAGCAGAGTTAGCACTAGTGGAAATTGGCGGTATGGTTTAGCACAGACTTGCAGCAATCACTAATAATCAATGAAGTAGAGATTTTGTAAGGGAGATAGAATTTAAGTTTTTCTGCAGAAAGAAACTGCTCAGGAATAGTGTGGTAGATACGTTAGGTACCAAACAAACTGGGATGTTTATGAGATTGCCTGGACTGTAGGGATCCATCTTTGGGTTTACCTATCAATAGACAATGCTGGGAAACCAAAATGGCAGTACAAACATCTTAGGAAGAATTTGACTCAATGATCTGATGGTTGGGCTTGATGAGCTCAATGTTTTTTTCCAACCTAGATTATTCTATGATTGCTTAAATTGGTAAGAGGAAAAATGAGATGTGGAGGAGACAAAAGCAGGAGGGTACCCAGAACCTGGCTTTTTCCTTGCAATGCTTCATTTGGCAATTCTACATCAATCATTGCTAGCATTAATTTATCTTGTAGCATTGTTGACAGAACATGAGCAATAATGGTGACAGAGTTAAGCAGTGTTATGGGAATAATTATCCAGTATTCAAAGGAGAATATCCACAGTGTATATTCAAGATGAGTTTACGTAGCGCAAAATTGCATGCTATGGCACATTAGTCCACAGAGAGCAGATGTGTTTATATTCTCGGGGATAGGAGCTGCTCACAGTACCCTCTCTAATGTTGCCACACTATTCATTGTTGTACTGTGCTTATTTTTCCTGGATCTGATTTATATGATTTACATGAATAGTTCCAATTACCTTTTTATCTGGTCATAAAGAAAAGAATGCATCTTCTGCAATGCAATGCTCATTAGAAATCTCCTGATAAATAATTTTTCTATGAATCCAAATACTGAAATTGTAATCTTTGCAGTCTTCAATATGATTATCTGGTCACTTACGGAAGTCACCAACTTTAGCTGAGCCACTATCTCCTCTTGGTTAATGATAATATTTGTATAGAATATAAGAAATTCCACGAATATATAACCTAAATTGTTTCAAGAATTAGTTCCTTCTATAGCAAGTGTAACGGGAAAGAACCTTTGATGCATTATAATAGAAAAAATGGAGATAGGTACTTAAAAGGACTATAGAACAGCCGCTCACAGTTACTTGCTGCATGTTCCATCACACACTTAAATGGCTTTGCCACTGGAACCTGTGTGAGATGCTGTAAGTAAGTGCTACAAAACTACCAAGCAAAACCATTCCAGAGAAAAAAAGAGGATGTTCTAGTTATTCATAGTAGACCACTGGTGAATCAGAGAATGGATCTGAGTTAAACAGGGTACTACTGGGACACCTTAGTTGACTTCTTGTCTGTCCAGAAGGATGACCTGTGAGACTGCTCTGCATTCAGTCTCACTGGTAACACCAGTAAAGGCCAAGATCTCCAAAAGCTGTGCACAACACAGGTTCTAGGAAGACAGGGAATGGAAATTTCAAGGACTATAGAGAAAGATGGAAAATTGATGTAAGGAAATGATATCCAGAGCATACAAGTTATATTGTATGCTGATGTGACTTTCTAGAGTGAAGGGAATATTTATTTTTTAGCATGGCTATGTTTGTTACTGCTGCAGTGCGTAAGGAAAGTGGCATCGCCTGGTATTTGTAAAATGTTTTTATCTTAAAAATTACCCAAAATTAAGTTCCAGAATAGAAGTTTTGAATATGTTAACCATAAAATGTAAACAACCCATTTAAGAAAAATTGTTATTCTTCTTCCAAATCAGTGAATCTGACATTTTTCCCCATAACACCCAGAATTTGCACATTACTTCATTTGCCACAGTGCTATCACTCATGTCTACTCTGGTGTTCTGGATTTTTTTTTTAATCCTAAACTCAAAAAGTGATAATCCAGATTGTTCTTTTTGATCCATTATTTATATGAAACAGACAGAACACCTACTCTGTGTTGCATGGAGGCTAATGTTTGCCTACCTTACACGAAATAGAATCTTTTCTTAAACAAGCAGTTTCCAAAAATAATATTGAAGCTTGTATTACTGTGTTTATATCTGGTTTACGTGTATATTGTAAAAAGGCTTGATAACCCTTTCTTATCTGCTAGAGATATTGCTTGTACAACATACACCCAGGAGGTATGCTCTTAATCAGAATTGCCATCTGCTTCTTGGCTAATGTTCCAATTATAATTAGACATCTTGCACTTATTCACATCTATAATAAAATTTATGGTTTCACTATTGAAAAGCAGCACGTGACTAATGGTGTGTTTTACCATGCAAGCTTTTTCTGAAATGCATCTTCTTAATCAACTTAAATAAAGGGACATAGAACAGAAATCTGTCACATAATCTTCTTTTTTTTTTTTTCCCCCTGAGACCAAACTGTTCATCAAGATTGTTTTCAATCACCTGAAGACCAATAACACTGTAGTACAAGATGTTCTTTCAGGTTTAGAAGAGATTTTATGGACTAGAACTTTAGCTGGCATAAATTGGCTCCTGTGAAGCTATAACAATTTTCACCAGCTGAGGACCCACTCTGTGTTCCTATAATTATCCACTGACATCTGAAAAAAGATTTATATGAATGGTTATACTAATATGTCTGAGATTATAGAGCAAGAAGATTATGTGGTTGAATTTTTAATGCAACTTTTGAATTCAGAATTTATTATGCTAGTTTCATCATTCCTAAGATTTTTTAATATCAAATAACTCTGAAGAGATATTTTTAGATGGACCTCTATGTGTATTCATGGCCTATGTCAAACGTACAACAGCTGTTCAGGAGCCTGGAACTTGCCAGCACTACTGAGTGATCAGACTTTTCAGTAATACATTTATAAATGACTGGTTAGCATACTTCGCTTTCTCGTATGAAAGAAGACCACTCTTTTTCTTAAGTGTAGTCTTGTGAAACATGAGTTTCTTTTACAAGGTGAATGCCTTACTCAGTAGCCTCTGGTAAAGTAGCCTTCTTCCCAGGACTCATCTCTGAGAATATTGTCTGACTTTCCCTTTGCATGCGCAGCTGGGACTAACAATTACATTCTTGCACTTTTCAGTTTCCTTAAAGTTTAACACATTCTGCAGAAATGTAATTTTTAATAAATTAAAAAGTATGCTTCACTGAATACCTTGTATTAGCTGTAAACAAAGAAGAGAACCAAGATACAAATGCCAAACATAAAGAGAATTGTGCAGTAAACGGGTCATCTGCTCCTGCTATCGACTAAAGAAAAGAAGCATTTTGTTTCCTTCCATGTTAGTGTAGTGCTTTTTGTAACAATACATGGCTTGTTTAGTTGCTTTAAAGAAATGCTATTCTTTAGCTTATGTGTCAGCCTCAGGGTACTCTGTTCACTTGGGGCATGTCACCAAAAGCTTCACAAATCAGCAAAGCACAGATCAGTTCAACCAAGTAAAAGGGCACAGCAAATCCCAGTAAATCTGCCCATGCCTTTGCACTGTGTGAGGAATATTCTGTGCCTGCATGCTCCTCCTGCCTTAAAGAAGGTAAGGAGCCTGACTGCTCCCTGACTTTTTTTTACAGCAAGTTCTGCTGTGTATTGTGCTACATTTCTGCATGATTGTGTGCTACTAGAAACTGTCATACAGCCAAGCTGCAAATTTCCTCCACCTTCATTCTATCTTACTTGGTTTTCAGCATTGTCTGCGCTCTATCTCAGGGATGTGGCCTGTAAAATTTTATATTGAATTTATCATTGTTAAAGAAAAAATTTTATATAACTGTGATTTCTGACTTCCATATATGATTCAGTGCTGCAATTTCAACACTGTAATGAGTAGATGTGGTTTTGGTAACCCCTTCTAGGGATACTCCTTTTTATGGCAAAGTGCTCTATGTCTATGCTACCCAGTACAGAGACCAGACACTTCACTGGAACGTGTGTGAAACAGCTACACACTTG